CTGCCCATCCCCACATGGAAAACAGGGACTCATAGCGTAGAAGAGCAATGCAGTTGAATCAAAGGACTTCAGTTGCGCTTTGGGCCTCTTTCGGTATTTAGATCTCGGTGAGAAAACATTAAATTAACAGAGCTTAATTTGTAGCCTTTTGTCAGATTAACAAGTGTTGACAAGAGTTACCGGGGGAGAGTCCCCAAGAAGTATTGTGGGTAACCAATAGACAATCACACCTCATTACAATAATTAAAAAATACAGCAACATGCAAAACAGCATCCTCATGAAAGACACACAACTTTTTCTGATTGAGATTTGTCAGTGCTGGCTAGTTCTTTTTATCTGTCCTTCAAATATAGATCAGCTGTGCTGGTAGGATACTTATTTTGTTTTGTTTTGTAAGCATAACCCATTTGAGATAACCAGGCCAGTTTAGGATAGGTGGGTCCAGTAGCTGATTGTGAAACAAAAAAGGTAGAGAAGTTAAAATAAAAACCCTTATCTACCTTTGCTGGATGTTTGTATTATTGTTTAAACTAAAAAAGGATTTGGCTTTTTAAATGATGGGTTTATTGGTATCAACCCACAACAAAGGTCCCACAAAAAGAATGTAAAAATTGGGAGTAGATAAATAAATACAGCAGGGTAAAGTGATGATTTGGGTTGTAAACCTCCAACCTGATATGCAAGGTGAGTGTTTCCACGTGCATTAGGAAACTGGCCACCACATCCTGTGGTTGTATGCACCTGCATATGGCAGACATGATCTAATGCCCAAAGGTGACATGTATGTCCACAAAATGCCAAGACACAATAAGGCTCCACTGGAAAGGAGAAAAAAGGGACACCTGGCCATGGCTAAGAGACGAGGGCATTACTCCCTCACTTTAACTTTTCAGCCACAAGCTGAGTGTATTTATTTTATATGTCGGGAGTGTCGTCTTCTTTACTGTACAAACCTCTTCCATTAAAATAAACAACTAATCCACAAGATTCAGGTGATGCCTGAGAACAATACAGGTTGGATGGACTAGACACTGCGAGCAAAAAAGACCAGTGCATACGAGTGTGGGGCCTGCATCCTAAAGGTAAGCTGGTTTATTTGAGCAAGACAGAAATTGCCACATACATATAGGGATTTGGTTTAGACAGAACAATGCCTTGGGTTTCTGTTTCTGCTAGAGCTGTGCATTTCTGGTGAAATTCACCCCCTTTGGGAGGGCCAGCACAAGGGTGAACTTCAACCCCTCCTCTTTATAGTGTGAAGACTCCTTCATGCCTGTAAGTGCCAAGCACCATAACCCTGTGAGGAGGGGAAGTGTGTGAAACAACCTCTCATGTGGGCTTCTGAGGAGGGATCACTGAGGCCAGGTCATGTCAAGGTCTCCCTGAATCCACATATGCATATCCAGTGACCAGGGACACCTCATAGCTGGAATAGAGACCATGGAAGGACTGCACTCCACCCCCAATTCATGTCCTCAGGTCTGGGTATATGTATGAATTTTATGGCCTCTACCCCTTACTCGGTTCCTTATTTTTTTTATATATATATATTATATATATATATATATCCCATTTCCTCAAAGAGAGGTGAACTTCATCCTATGTGGCTAGAGCAAATAACCTGGAGCATAATGCAATACTCATGCCCTTGGGCAACTCAGCCTGAGATTCCCAATATCAGTGAGGCCTGAAATATCCTTTATATGTGAATAACACATCTTATGGCAATAAAAAATTATACTGTAATGCAGAGAGCCCTTTCTTCTAGTACCTCAGTGCACTTTACAAACAATAATCAATTAAACTGTGGGGCAAGGAGGTATTATAAACCCATTTCAGAGATGGCAACATAGAGGCAGCAGGTACCAATGACTCATAGCATTTCATCTGAGGGACTCCCATTCCCTACAAGTTCTACGTGTGCAAAAAATAAACAAATGGACATTCACCATGGTTTTTTTTTTTTTGCCACCTTTAATCTGAACTAATTCATTTTTCTTGTTGTTAATAAAAATTCACTCCTAAGTTGCTACCTTTTCAACCAGGTGTCACCCATTTCACCAGCCAACATAAACTCTGCCCATCCCCACATGGAAAACAGGGACTCATAGCGTAGAAGAGCAATGCAGTTGTAATTACCGAGTTACATTAATGGTGACATTATTTTTTTAAAAAACCACACCGCTGAAACCATCATCAGCCACCACAAAATCAAACTCAGGGACTGTGAAAAATGAGACATCCAGCAAAAATGTATTTATAAAGTGTTTTAACAGAGGGGCTATGAATTTATGCCTCACGGGCCATCGGTTGGCTAAAGACAATATGTGTAGTGATGCCTGAGTGCCCATGTTTGCTTAATACCATATGACTTGGTATCAGAGCCCCAGGTTTATTTAATCTTTATTGAGCAGTTATCAATTCACCCACATCATAAAGTGGCAGCTGGCAAATACACTTATCTCAATACATATACACACTTATTTTTACATTAAAAATTAGACATGTCAAAAAACCAAAATGGAAATAAAAAAATGGAACTCCTTACTGTGGTACTAACCATCCTAGCGGATGGGGAATTTGCCCTACAGTGCCTGGTGATAACGGATAATAAGGAGATATATCCGGAGGATGCGGAGGCCTTGGAATTCCTAGGGAAGAGGAAAGTGAAATGGCATAAATATTGGGTCAGGAAAGGAAATAAAAGGGGGTAGAAAAATCATATAGGTTTCTATGCCGTGGTTATGCTAGTGATTTTGGTTACTAGTTCCATCAGTTGGCCCACTGCCTTAACCTGCACTTGCCAGAATGGGCCACTTTGTACTGTAAGTAAATGAGATTCATCAAAAGTCAGGGGAGGTTTGATCCTTCCGACCCTGCCACCAATCAAAGGCCATTATTAATTATTTGTATTGGAATAGTCCTTACAGTTCCATCATGGACCCAGATCTCACTGTGCTAGGTGCTGTACAAATAGAACAAACAAAAAAACGGTCCCCTCCCACAATCATTCAGGACTTTTCTCTGAGAGGCCTGAAAGGATGGAGCCCCCAGCCACTCCCCTCCTTGTGCCCCATTCCGAGTAAACCTCCAAAATAAACCATTATATTTCTAAGTGATTCCCACTTTTGGGTGAGCATGAGGCATTTGGTTTTGTCTCTCCACTCTACCCTAAAATCTTGAAGGTGAGAAGACAGAGTCCTGCTAGTGCTTGATAAAAAGAAGAGGCATGGGGATATTTTAGTCCTGTTGCTGTGCATATTCAGAGCTAAAGGAATTCAGCTCCAAATATAAGGTCTGATCTTGCAACCCTCACCTTTGGAGTCAACGGGACTTCCTCAGGTAGGTTGTAGGACTGGGACCTTCAAATAGTATGGCAGAAGCAGAATTAAAACAGAGAGCATTAAAAGGAAGGGGCACTGCATTCATGGCTGAAAAAGTATTTTTTTAAAATCACCCAGGAAGCTTTTAATCTCTAAATTAAATCTCCCTGTGTGACATTTTCATGCAGACGCTGCTTTTTCTCCATTACAAAAACCAAACAGATTAACTGAGCTTTAACCATACAATGAGCTATTTGCACACTTGAAAGAATGTTCACAGAAGAAAAGTAAACAGTCTACAGACGTTAATCATATGTTTTACGATAACCATTTAAAAGCTATTCCCTGTACTGCCATTATTTAAATGAGTGGTTGACTATGCCATTCACTTTACAGGGATGGCTAGACGGCTCCTTTTAAGCCATGCAAAGTTAGCATTAAGTACAATTAACAGGAAGCCCCAGCTGCGGCGTGTAAAGTGAACAACAGCTAATAGTGTACCAGTTCATTCACAAGCTGGGGTTTAGATAATTTATCTACATATGATAGGCCCAGCATAGAGCAATTCTTTCGACAAACTCTAACATGTATTCACGGTTTCAAACTTGCCTTCTAATTAACTAGCAGGGATTTGGATTAACAAAAACAAAACACTGCCACTGAGAACTCGATGGAGACTGAAGAAAGGAAGACTGACACTATCGGTAGCAGGACACGCAGTAAAACACCCATGGCTGGCCAGGGTCAGCTGACTCCGGCTCGTGGGGCGCAGGCTCTGGGGCTGTAAAATTGCAGTGTAGATGTTTGGGTTGAGACTGGAGCCTGGGCTCTGGGACCTGCCAGCCTTGTGGGGTCTCAGAGCCCAGGATCCAGCCCGAGCCTGAATGTCTACACTGCAGTTTTATAGCCCTATGGCCTAAGCCCCCTGGGCCGAAATCAGCTGACATGGGCCAGCAGTGGGTGTTTAACTGGAGTATAGACATATCCTATATGACTTCTGTGGGTCCGCATGTTAAACAGAGACCCCTTTTTTAAAGTTAGAATAACATGGAAATTCTATTCTACTAAGACCAATAAATCTAGGCAGGGTTTTAAATTGCTCTATATTCAAGAAGATTGCTCTTCAGGGTGAACTGAGACTTGGGTCTCATTTGGGGAAAAAAGTTGCAAGTGTGCAGATGGAACTAAAGCAGCGCGGGTGGATGGAAATTCAATATTATAAGAGAAAAATGGCTGAACCTCTGACACAGAAACAATGGGTTTGGGGGAATCAAAGAGATTCATTTTGAAACTGGCTGCGACCTACCACCTTTAAAATTCCAGCTGCAATTTTGTAAGTGCAGATCACAGAATGAACATGTTTAACTCCTTGGGTTGCTCCTGCAAATCAGGCAGAGATCTAAATGTGTATTATTTGCTCCACCTCTGCTGCACAGAAATACAGGCTTAGATGACTGCAGGCCCAGAGTTCCATGTGCAGCTTCTTGGGCTTTTTATGAAAACTTAGCCCAACATGTTTATATCTAAAGCTTCACTAATTTAGGCGAGTGATTCAAAAGTAAATTGGATTCTCTCAGCGTATTTCACAACCATTTGCCACTGCAGCATGGGAAATTCGCCCCTCAAAACAAACCACATAGATGACTTTCTCCAACCCCCTCACAACAAGACTCCCCACCTACCTGTTTTTGGATCTACGTCGGCTGGTAAATGTGGAGGAGGGTTTCCTGGTGTGAAATGCTCATTGCTGTACGTGATAAGCGGCGTGAGAGGGTGTACATGGTGTGGGTGCTGCACAACTGGCACTTTGTTAGACTGTCAAAAGAAAAAGGGGATGCGGGGGAACACCCTTTGTTAACAATGCTGCACACTCATCCCCCCTAAAGCCTTGGGAATTATCTAAAGAAATGTATGTTGCCAAGAGTTGTAACATGATTCTTATGTTTTCCCTCCGTGTTTCTGCCGCAATTTTCTCCCCCCCCCCCCCATCCTGTTCACAAGTAAGTGGGTAAGAATCTTTCTTTATTCTCTTTGACCCTTCGTGCTCCCTATTGGGACAGTAGATTTTTTTCTTGCGACTCCTCACGCTTCACCTCTGTGATGCAAGCAAGCTCTTCAGTGAGATGCTGACGGAGTCCCCCAGTTTAATTAGCAAGAGACCCAAATGCTTAGTGACCTGAAGGTCTTTCCCTTCTCTCCCAGCTACCAGTCTACATTTTACAATTCTTTTATAAAGAGGCTGCATAAAACATCCTCATAATTTTGGAGTATTCCCTTCATCTGGCAGCACTAAACTGCCAGATGATCACCTGCATATCTTATGCATATTATAAGAGACCTGATTAATTACCAATTCAACAGATAGCACTAATAAGTTAACTGGATACTGATGAATTGTGCTACTAAAACATGCAGATTTTCAAATAATGGCAGGAATGTAGATACAGACGTTGAAATGAAAACTCACTTGGCCAAAAAAGAAATAAAAACCACAAAAGTCATGCAGATATATCATGAGATTTTTCTTGTCATGTTTTCATAACTGGCAAAATTATTCTCTTTCTTTTTTTTCTGAAGAAAGAAATACAGACAGAAAGAAAGAGCGGGTTGAACTGTAACTTACCCTTACAAGATCACAAAGAAAAAAATTAAGCTGAAACAAGTGAACTACTGGACCATTTACTGCAAGTAATCCAATTGCAAAAAACCCTATTCCCCACAGAGGATTTTCACTAAAATCCTACAACAGGGACATTTAACCAGATTAGGTACCAGCAAAGATAAAGAGGCTAGTATTAGATGATGAATGGATTAGAGTCAAGTTTCATTTTAGAATGTGTCTTCATTTCCTTTTATTACTTTAAGTAAGGAACAGCTTGCATTAACATCAAGTAAAAGGAATCACATTAAAAGAAAGAAGTGATACTCCAGCAGCGCCCACTAGCGCCACTACAGTTCAGGGTCTGTCAGCGTTTTCATTCTAATCCCCTTTCTTAAAGGGCACTAGACAGAAACTTGCCAGTACAAGTTGTCAAGCAGATATTTTTTCCCCTGCACTGTATTGAACAAAATATTACTTGAGCTCAGTCTGAACATTTTGTGCATCTCTTAAAAGCACATTTATTTTTATTTACAACTTATGTTAAAGGGTGATAATTTCTACAGCAGGAGGGGAGCATACTGAATTTTTGAAAAATACCACACATCTCAAATGCAGGTTAATGTCTAATGTTATCTTCTATTGGGGGCAGATTCAAATGATAATTTGTGAGCTATTTTCCATAACTTTTGCTTTGTTTTTATTTATTTTTTAATCTCTTCACGCAGTGGCACATGCCAAATAGTAGCTGTGTGACACAGATCATGACTAGTATGTGAAATCCAGTGCTGCCAATTTCAGTGTATTGTGCTCACAGGATCATAGGCATGTCATACAGACTACAACGCTTGATCACAACAGTTACTCTGCATTTACGCCGAGGCATCCGAGGGCTGGATTTGGCCCCTTATGTGAAAAAAGTAAATTGAAATATTCTAGCAAAGTTCTGTGTTCTTAAGAGTGAACTATCCTCTTGATAGTTTTGGCAATACTGAAAACTTTGGCATGGGTTTTCAAATACGTCATATTAGGTATTGTCCAAAGAGACAGACACTGTCCAAACTACCAGGCTTCTCCATGCAGCACCATGTGACATTTTGTGCAAAACAACCGTCTAAAAACTACGGATCACAAAGAATTATAATTCCTGACAAGAGGGAATCACTGGCCAAGAGATTTGTGAATCTTTATTGTTGGGTAACACGTGGTGTGGCTGGTAAGAGTGGCTCAGAGGAGCAACTGGGAGGGCACTGCTAGACATCAGGTTGGAAAAGCGTTCAGCCAGACCCCAGTATGCTAACAAAATAAGGTATGGCTTTTACAGAAAGTTAATTTTTTGATAGAAACCACTAAACAACCCAAGCTGATTAATTAAAAAAAAATACTGAGGAAACAACTTTGGAGGGTCAGACAAACATAACAACATTTAGAATAACATTGGCTTTGCATACTCATCAGCCCCTGTGGTGGCCTGGCTCTGACAATGCATGTAAACTGTGTGAAACCACCACCCACTGCTCTGATGTTCCAAGAGCCCCTGCAACACCACTGCAAAATGGCGTGAGTCAAGAACGAAGAGACAAATTATCATTTTACTTAACACCTTGCCAACAAAGAAACGGAAGTTGGAGTCTGACCCTGCAAACCTTTCCTCAGGTGAATAATTTCATTCATGCAACTGGGTCCCTCTTAGGTCAAAGGGATGACTGATGCGAGGATGGGTTTATAGGATCTGGGCCTTTGGCTCTTCCCAGCTCTGTGATCATGCTGGAAGAGGCAGGGGGCAGGGAGGAGGGGATTTGGAGAGGTTGGGGAAATTACAGTTAAACAAGTCAATACAAACAAACAAACAAAAAATCAGTGTCTGTCTGCAAGTCACGTTGGAACTGTATCACTACACTACAGCCAACCTAGATTTCTCTGCATTTGTATTATATTTAATATTCTGAATTTAGCAGATCAAAAAAGAAGGGGGAAGGGTCTTGCCTAAGTGTGAAGATAGCCAATAATTTGCAAGAGGAAGGGATGAATGGTTTAGAAGAACTGCCAGTTATGCATAAACCAACTAAACAAGCTAGTCTTTAAAAGCAGCATTACTGAACGTCCTTGAAAAACAGCACAAGACAGGATTATGTTTGTGGGCCAGGGCAGGTTTAATGTTGAACTTGCTTCTCTTGTTGAAGTCAATGGGAGCCCTGCCTGAGTCACAAGTCCCATCCCTAACACTCCCCAATGGCTATAACTAGGTGTATCATAAAAGTTACAGATAGTAAAGACCTATTAGATCATTTTAGCCCATTCCTTCTTGTCAATGCATGATTGCTCTCTGCAGTATATTTTCTAGTACTTTGCCCAGGAGAGTTTAAGATACAAGATAAAAGCCATTCTGAGAAAATGGAATTTCTTTTCTGGAAACAGCAACTTTAAACATCCCATTCATGGTATGACAGATGTGAAAAGTGGAGCTGTACCACTACATATAGATTAGCAACAATGTGTGCAACAGCAGGAATAAAACAACAACCCAAAATACACATCTACAGCGTTCCAAGGAACCTGCTAGGAAGCTCCTCCTCCCCCGTTCTTCTAAAGCAAGGTTTTTAGTGCTTTGGATTGAAGGTGGGGAGTGGGGGGAAGAGGACAAAATACAAATTACATCAAAAGTTTGTTGTTCTTGATTGGCTATGTCTGATGCAGGAAAGATGAAATTAGACCCATGCAAATCTCTACACAGGAATTTGATAACTGTTTTGGAAATGCCTAACCAAAGATGACTCAAATCATAACTGAACCTTTAGTATTAAGAAGCAAAGCTGAATTGTGGACTGAAGTGGATTGGGGAGACATGCAGGGTGTGGGGATGTTAAAATGGGTATGCATTAAATGCCGACAGGTGCCCCCAAAAAGAATCCGAATAATTTCGGTGAAACTTGCTGGCAATTGCGTGTGAAATCACTGTGCGTTAGTCTTTGCTGCATGGTAACGACATTAAAATGAAAGAGCTATATATGTGTGTAGAACCGTCTGCCATAAAGGTAACACATCCCTCCAATTAATATTTTCAATCTGCTGAAGAAGCTAATATAAGATGTATAATGATTAATAGCTCCTCAATCACTAAAAGCACCCACCCCCCTAATCCTTGCCTGCCCGAGTGATAACATAATAATCACACTTTGTTCTTTTTAGTGGAGATGCAAAAATAAAAACTTATAATAGGAAGTTTCTGTTACTGTAATTCTGGTATATCAGGGCACAGTTTGGCTCAGGTGATTAAAAACTCTGTATACATTCCAAGTAATGTTAACATGAACACAGAGAAAAGTGTAGCACAGAAAACAGGAAATCTACTGTGCCAGGTTAATATGGCATCTGTAAAAATGGATACGCAAAAAATACAAAAACACAGAAAATTCCTTAAGACACTAAGGAACTTGGATTGTAGCTGTTACATTGTTTGATGCAGAAGCCTTTCTTGGCCTAACTACCAAGCCAGGCACCCTAACCTTGAATCTCCCTTGTTTTCTTAGTCAATACCCGTAATTATACATTGAATAGCTAACGATGGAGGGCAAAAGGGGTTTTTTGCAAGAAGCAAAGCTTAAAACCTTCCCGTTCTATACACACAGTTCCTGTGACTACTGCATGGGGAAAGACCCCCTTGGCTGACCCCTAACCTTTCAAGTGTTCTTAAAGCATCAAGTTCTGCTAGCCTGCAGGAGATGTTCTGTCACCATCCTAGACACCCCTACCCACCCCCCATACTGTTCATAATTTGGAACGTGGCAAGTGAAAGATTGATTAGGCACTTATATCCAAGACCCCCCACCCTTCCTTCACTATGGGTGACCTAAGAGGAATGAAAGCTTGCCATTCACCTCTAAACCTATTAATCAACAGATAGTGAAAACAAATGGAGCAATAGCTCCGCCTGTCTTTTTTGCCATGTCCTCCTCTTCAGTACTCCCCTATTGCTTTCCCTTTCTGCAGAAGAAAGATGGGTTCTGAAAGTGCCTTTATGAGCCTAGTACAATAAAACAAAAGCAGCACAGAAGAGGGTTTGTCAGTCTTCTCCCCTCCTCCAGGGTGGATGCAGAAGATCTACAGTGGTCTTGAATTAGGAGGCCCTCCCAGGGACTGCTCTCTCTCCGCCAGCTAAGGGTACTTATTCAGGACCAGTTTACATCAAAAATAGGTGTATACCTGGTCGCCTGAG